AGCCAAGAAGATACCATTAGGATATCAAAATATTACTGTTTTTCTGATGATCTAAATTTTCTAGTTAACTGCTAAATAGCTGTGGTCTTCATGAATTTCCTGTTTTTAAGTGCTTCCAGAATATGAAAGAGGAGGTGGTGGGGAAAAAACAGAACAAGAGAAGATACTAGACTTTCTCTGCACCTGGCAAACATATCTGACAGTGATGTCAAATTTGGCCTGATAGTTACATGCTTATTAATGTCTGGGTGCTTATACACATGCTTACATACTGCTAACATTAAGACACCCAAAAAGTAACTCAAAGGAAGACACATACTAAGCAGTTTGGGTTATTCTTGATTTGATTCTGTAATGACATGGGAAGGAACCAACTTTGCAAAATATGGAACACGTACGAGTCTTTCCTAAAGGTCAGAATATCAGTTCAAATCCATATCTGTAGGCCGTTACATTTTAAAATGTAAATTACTCTTAAAACAAAATTGCTAAATTATTTATTTCTATTTCTACCTTTTTCCTGTTTAAAAATACTTATTCTTTTCTATTTTAGTCTGGACACTAGGAATCCACTCTACCTGTGTTAAATGTTGTTGATGCTGAAAGAAATGCACAAATAAGAGTTAGCCCTGCAACAAAGAACCAATGATTTATATGTCCTGAGACTCTAGTCCCTAGGAGGGAGGAAATGTTTTGGTTGCTTTTGAATCTTAGCTGATAAGGGTTGAGTATTTTTAGACCAGTGATTGAATCAGAACCAGATATTCTCCGATGATTTATGTGTTCTTAAGACAGAATATTAAGAATGGGTTTGTGTTTCCTAATAACATTAGCACTGTTCATTGAAAACAATGGTTAAATTTCCAAAGGGCGTCCCATTTTAAGTTCTGCATTTTAAGTAACTTTAATACATGATTAGATCTGTAAGCGTACATTGGGAAATGCATAGAGTGTGTGTATATTTTTCTGTAGTTATTTGACATCTTTCTTCCTCTCTGTCCTAGATATGCAAGTTCTGCCGTTGACCGTCAAGGAAGCACATCCATGAGGAAGGTAATGATTTATAAACATACGTTAAAAAACCAAAAAATCCTCAAGAGTTCAATTCATTGTCATGTTTTTAAGGTATCACAAACCTTGAAGTTTGTCTATATTATGAAAGATCTGAAAATAAAAAGCTAGGAATAATTTCCATATACAGAAAATTGGTTACTGCAACCACAGCAGGCCAGTGCGTGTGCAGTATTTTTAGTTAAGTTTAGTAGGTACCTTAGTATGTGTTCTAAGGTATATACTAGTTTTGGGAGGAGAATCATAGAAAATGTCTAGGTTGGAAAGGACCTCTGGAGGGAAGGTTGCCCTGAAGGTGAAGAAAATTTTAAAAAGTTTTACAGTATTTTAATAGTGTAAATACTATGATAGGGAGATATGGGATTAAGATTTTCAAAGATTTTTGTGGTACCAATTTTGAAGGCGTTCAATGGAAAATATCTAGACATTATTTTTTAGTATTTTGCAAATATTTTCATACAAAGGACAAACAACAGAACCTTCATTTATAGAATGCCTATTTCTTCATTCTGACTCAGCACTTTTTTCACTAAGTAGGTGCTAAATAACTTTTGAAAGTTGCTAGATGTTATTCTGCCTCCCAAATATTTACAAAGTGAGGCTAAAGACCAGTGACAGTAATGGAAGATGTATGACTAAATTTTCTGCAGTTTGTGAAAACCTGCAGTTGTGTTTATTGATACGCTGCCTCTCTCTGCCAATCCCTACCTCGCCTGCCACCTCCACTGGAAAACACTTGGACGTGTGGCTGTTCCCAGGGATCCCAGTACTGCAAATAATCTAATACACATAATCTGAGGAAATCAGCACTATGTGCCTATGATTTGTGTACTTTGCTAGTGAATGCACCGATGGCTGTGTTTGGAACTTGTTAATGGTTTTCATTAAAAACTCCTAAGGCTCAAAATAGCAGAGATACATGCAACCAGGTTTGCATCAATAGGCTTGGTTCTCTTCATCCTGACAGGTAACTGAATCCCTAGTCTCCAGGGTATTTTTTAAGCAGAGCATAACTTTGCATTTGGTGATTCTGTGACAGCACTCCTACTACTGCACTGTGATTATTCTGAGGCCTCATTAATTTAGCTTCATATAGCACAGATTCAATTACTTCTCTTTTTTTCTTTTTTTCCATGGTGTGCTTCTTGTTGGGCTGGGGTGGGAGGGCGTGCATTTTGTTTAGCATTCTACTTTGTGTTGTGGTTTTGAGATGACAACTTAAATGCTGACAACCACACTATGTTCTCATATCATCTGTCTGTTTCCCATAGCAACTCTGAGTCATTTTGAAGCTGCAAGTTCTGACTGTTTTCTTACAGTGTTTACCACAAAGTTAATTATATAGTACTTCCTTTATCTCTCAGAATATGAAGCTTGAATTTTGTAAGTTAGCAGTGCTAATTAAGCAGTGATTCCCAAGGTATTGCAAACCTTTCACTTTCTCTAGTTTTCTTGCTTTGAATACATTGTATGTGCGTATAAACAAAACATAGTAAGACTAATTAACTTTTGTTTTTAGAAGAGCTAATATTTTCAGCTCTCCTTGATTTGTCGTGCTTGTATTTTCACTATTTTTAAAACTTTTATATTGAATTATGCATATCAGTTTCTGGTGAGTATCCTAATGCGTATATCCTCCAGTTTTTCCATTTTTCTTGCAGTTCTTTAGATTTAATCACATATGAAAACTGATATTTAATTACAGGGTTTTATTTCATCACTATATTTTTTTTAGCCTAAATTGTGGACAAATTTGGTGATCTCTATTTCAGAAACAGATACCTGCTCTGTCCTAATGCACTTTTATACTGAAAGAGGAACATTGAACAGATTGTTTTGGTCACAGTCACCACAGAACTCCAGTTGGTACAATATGACTGACCAGTACTGCTGCTGGTACAGTACATCAATTAACAAAAACAATGTTGCTGTGCATCTTTAATACTTTCTCACAGACTTACTTTTGTTTTTTCATTTTCTGACCGTTTTTTACTACATTTCCTATGCCACAGGAACAAGCATTAATCTTTGTCTTCTCTAGTGCTCAAAACAGAGAGATACATTTGCAGCTATCAAGTAAATGGAGAATATGTACTGTCTTATGGTGATACAATGCATATACACTTATAGAGCTTGTCACCTGTTATTACAATATTTTTGTGAAGCATTCATATAACTGTGACTGCCTGGGAGAACAGTCTGAGAAAAACAGAACACAGAAAGCTGGTGTTCTCTGAGCCAGCTCTCTCAGGAGTCAAGAATTGCCGATTTCTGCAAATCGCTAGAAAATGTTTGTGCTGTTCGACGCTGTAAACTGGCTAAATTCAGAAGGGTTGCAAATAGGTCTATGCATGTGCGAAACAACTCCCCCTCCCCTACTATTATTTAAAATAAAACTTTGCCTCTCCAATAGTTGGAGTCCTGTTTTCAGCTGTTGCTTTTCTATAGTGCTTAAGCTGTAATCCTTCGTTATCCTAAATATTAATTTAAATATTTTTATTTTAATTATAATCCTCAGTTGTTTAAAATTTTAATATTGTGACATTGAAACACTTATTTAATATGTTGTACCACAATTGTTAATAAGGACTTTTGTAGCATGTGTTTGCTTTTTGACCACGTGGTGAGGAGCTGCCATAAGGTAGGGTAAGCAGTCAGATGATCTCTGGGAGAAGGTAATCATCTGCAGTCATACCACTAGTTAAGGTAGCATGGAGATATCCCCGTCACTGACTGAGGCACCCTTCTTCTAGGCCCTCTACTGAGCTGAGTGTTATCTGTCACAAAGGAAAAATCAAGAAAAGTAAAAAGGTGGCCCTTTCTATGCTAGCAGCAGATCTGGGCATTATCATGCTGTGAATGTCTGCTCATTTTTCTACCGATAGTGGCAGCATTAGTTACCAATCAGGCAGCTCCTTTGTCATGTTGACCTGTAATTTTTCCCCTAGCATTTATGTGTTTGAGGTAAATCCTTACCACCTTTTGAGTAGTATCCCTGTTTTTAAAAGGTTTAAATAATGAGATGCTTTTAGGTTTTTCTTAAGAATCTGTAATGACTTTATAATCATAGAACCATAGAACAGTTTGGGTTGGAAAGGACCTCTAAAGGTCATCTAGTCCAACCCCCCTGCCATGGGCAGGGACATCTTCAACTAGATCAGGTTGCTCAGAGCCCCATCCAACCTGACCTTGAATGTTTCCAGGGAGGGGCATCCACCACCTCTCTGGGCAACCTGTGCTGGTGTTTCACCACTCTCAGCATAAAAAAGTTCTTCTTTATATCTAGTCTAAATCTACCCCCCTTTAGTTTAAAGCCATTCCCCCTTGTCCTGTTGCAACAGGCCCTGCTAAAAATAATGCAGTCACAAAAGAAAGAATTATTTTTTTCTCTCCTCAAAGTTATTCTGTCAACCTACCAACCTAACAAACTTAATTGTTTCCTATGGTTGGAAACAATTAAAGAACATGACTTCAATATGTCACTGAACACATGACTTTACACATTAACTATATAATGTTTGTGGTGGATATTTCTTTTTGAATGAATATTTGTATAACTATCTCATGTATACATACAACAAACTTCAGGTATCATTCATTTTATTAGGTCATTCATATGAGTTTATATCCTTCATTTTCAAACTCCTGCATAACCATTCAAGCAAAGAAACCTTAATGAATTGATTGTAATTGTAATTAATAACTGAAAAAAGAAAGGGATTTTAATTTGCAGATTGTGCACTGTGTTGTTTTCTTTATGATGTTTATAGTAGTAGTAAGAGAAGAATGACAAAAACGAGATCCTATGATAACTGATCCTATGATAACTAACCCTAAGATAACCATAGAGGTGGTAGTGAATGCCAGCTGTTTCATGTTACTACTATTATCTGCATTGGTTTTTCATAATTATTTTCTTTTCTTTACAGTCATTCCATTACGCTTCCCTCAGGGTAAAAAGCAGAAAATGGTCAAAAGGTAACTTATCTGAGTTAACATTTTGAAACTAGAAAATGAGACGATTTCTCTGGTAATAAGTGGTCTGGATCAAATGCCAAAGTTCAACTTAATTCAGATATTTCTAAATGTGATAGTAAACACCAAAGTAAAATACCGAATAAATGTGTTATAAGGTATAATATTGCTAGACTCGGTGGTAAAATTTCCTCTGACTTAAGAAGAAGAAAGGTAGTATCTCTATATTTTGCCATTTCCTTCAGCTCTGTTTCTTTATCTATTCATGGCCTATTTGAGACTGTTGAAACAATGAACATATGAAAAATAGTTACAACATAATAAATTCCTATGAAAGTATATGGCCAGTGAGCTCTCTTTATTCTGTTTTTTGGTTTAGTCTCCTTTCTATGAAAATTTTCCTTTTATTGTACTGTATGTTTTTAATATGTCCAAACCAGACCAGGACACAGCAAAATATCTTATTCTAAAAAGAGCAAAATGTTAAGAACTTGGTTGTGGAATGTTGCAGAACAAAGGATGGTGTTTTGATGTTATCTAAACTTCTGCACTGTTTCACAGCTGTAGGACAAATATAATTCTTGTAGCAATATAAACTTGATTTTTCACAGAAAAATGTCTAATAATTTAAGAAATTTCCTACAGAGTCTTTTTCAGGAAAAATGATACCATAATTAACAAAAAAACCCGTTCTTATTGATATTTACAAAGCACATAAAAATTTTAAGCCTTTCAATTAGGATGTATTGAAATGACAACGACAAAAAAAAAACCTTTTCCTGGTGCGGTGCCTTTAAACAGGCTGCAGTAAAGTTAAAATATTGTTCTTCACTTAAATTCAGGATAGAAGAAATGTAAGCATGTGCATTTTTATGGAAGTGGATGATCTTTCTTTTTTATTGACTATAAATATTGACTATAAAAATTGAGTTAAAAAATGCCCAGAATTTGACAGGCCTTCTATTGCTAAAAGTAGTTACAGAAGATATACGGAAGAAGTAGTGTTTACATCTGTGTACAGATTATGTCATACTCTGAGTTTCAATTGAGGGCTAAATGAATACAGTTTTACTTGGAATGATGATGCCCATCTTAATCAGATAAAAATGCAGCCCTAAGAGGAATGAACCCTCTAGAGGTTAAATAAACCATTACATAAAACAGGCCCTTTTTATTTTATTTTGTATTCATGCTGAAACCAAAATCGCAGAGCATTGTAAAATTTGGAAATTGTTCATTCAATCTCCTCTCCCTGAAACTGAAGAGGATTTGGCTTGAAGGATTTTGAATTGAATCATCATTAAAAATTAGTATTGTGTTTATATTGAGAATAGTTCCTTCACTCTTTCATTCAGTGAGATGTCTCACACTATTGTCATGTTCTCAGGGAGCTCTCTAACGACTGGGAGCAGAAGACGGATTTCCTGCAAAGACTTGGGGCATGGAGATTGTGAAGGTTGGCTGTGGAAGAAAAAGGATGCCAAAGGTTATTTCACACAGAAATGGAAAAAGTACTGGTTTATTCTGAAGGATTCATCCTTGTACTGGTACACAAACCAGAACGTAAGTATACTCTATGTTTGAAGAAAGCCAAAATTAAACCTTAACCTTTAGAATTCTTTTTAATAAAGTCTATTTTTACTACATGGTAGGATATGTTAGTGAACTGCCACTTTAATTGCCAGGTCTGGGTCGCTCTACCTGGAAATATTTCAGTTGAAATTATTTTTTAAAGTCTCCAAAGTCCATGTCCGAGCTTATTAAAATAGCAGATGTTCATGGCACTCTTAAGGAAATGAATACATCAATAGTTAATACTTCTCCGCAGGTAGTATTTATTTGGACTAACACAGCGTTCACATGCAGCTCTTCTTAGTTTCAGGTGTGTGGAGAGATGTATACAGTATAGCCATTCATTTTAGTTAAGCATTATGTGAAGCAGATGTGAAAATCTGAATTTGTAGATCTCTTTATCTGAAAGTTATTCTTATATAGATGTTCCTCTTGCTTTTTGCTGAATTAGTCTGGAGTTTGCAGTTTCTCGTGTAAAACGCTGTTCTTGGCGAAATCTTATTGAAAACCACTGGGCCTGTGCTTGTGCAATCTGCATATATGTAGGAAAAAATAATGAAGGGGAAAAGCCAAAAATCGTTAGACTGCTATTCTTCCATTTGTATGCGTTGAGCCTCAGTGCCTGATCTAAACTGTCTGTGTACAGCCTGCTTTGATTACTGACATTTTAGTACATATTTTCCATTTTCTTCAAGAGGAAAATTTTACTAGCATAATTATCCTCAGTTTTAGTATTTTCTTGTCAGCCCAAAACAGTATTGCTTCAGGCAGTGGATGCTAAAGGCCTTCAGGTTTTGTGTTGTACGTTTTGTTTGACATTGTTACATGCCAGGTGGTAGTCATTGTGTCCCACTGATTTTCAGTCTGTTGTTTACAGCCAAGCCATAATTCATAGTGCACTTGCTAATACTTTTCAAAAATCTGACTGGTGTTAGTATGTCTCCTTGCTTTTCCTGGTAAATTACTTCAAAAGAAGCAAAAAGTGACGAGATACTTTCTAGTTATTACTTCTCCATTTAATCACTGGTGAGCTTGCTGTAGGAACCTCCTCAATTATTATTAGCAGGGCAGATGGTCTGCACGATCGTGACTTTAAAAGGAGGCATCCACAAAGCAGTTTTCAAATGTAGACTATATGATGAAGAAACTGAGAATTCTTCTCTGTAGTTGTTGATGTCTTGAATGCTGTTTTAGGTGCTGTATTTGGTGCTGAAAGGTTTCCTGTAATCTTCAGCAAAGGGGAATTAGGATGACTGCAGCTCCTTTAAGAAACTGTCAGTTTAGTTACTTCATAAAAGTTATTGACATTGTATGATGAACTAAATAGATTTTTTTAAGTAAAAACATTATGGGGAAAATATGTTCAGCATTTCAATTGATTGGATGGTTGTTCTTAGTGTAAGACCCAAATGGCTACTGCTCACTTCTCTCTTCTTTAACTCTATGTTATTCTTCACCATCACTTTCTCTTCTCTTCTCATAGGATGAAAAAGCAGAAGGATTCATTAGCTTACCTGAGTTCAGAATAGATAGAGCAATCGAATGCAGAAGAAAACAGTAAGTAATGTGTCAATTATGTTTATAAATTAAGGGATCGCTCTTGGAAGTATACTGTATATAGTACTGAAAATTTGCAAAGCCCAGAGAAGGAAGTTACACAGAAAACCTTGAAATCTGTAAATAATACATAATAGATCCGCTTAAGCTGTAGTGTTTCTCTTTATTATAAAAGATACAACTTTATGTAAATTCCATAAACTGTCTTACAAAGAATTGGATAACTCTTTGGTCAGCTTTCCAGATAGCCCAGCTACAACTTCAGTTAAATAAGTAAAGCAAAAAATAATGAATAGGTTAGCCAAGAGATAAAACTTTCTCAGGTTCAGTATGGTCATCTTGATAAGAATCAAGTGTGCAAGAAACAATTACCATAGGAAATACCATTAAAAATATCATAGCAAGGGATGGTGAATATAATCTCCATTTTTCTCCTTTATAGAGGAAGCTTACTTACCCAATATTGTGTAATTCTCAACTGCTAAAATATTTAGGTTCCATATGCAAAATGAACATTGTGTTATTGCTTATGTGCGTATTGCTACCACTGCATTATGCTCCCAGTAAAAAGCATACGCTAAGCTTCGCCACCCTTAAGGCATATTTAATAACAGACACTCATTGGAAATTGTTTGCAAGCAGTGTTGGGACTGGAATTCATCGCTGTCAAACAGCACGTTTAACAGAACAATTCTAATGCTTTGAGACTCGCATTTTGCTGGTACCTCCTGAATTACTTGCATGTGTCTTCTGTATGCTGCATCTGGATTCTTAAAACTTGCTGCCGTGAGGAGCTACATGGAATAGCATTAAAGATGCTCTCTTACTAAAGCTTTCCTAGCTATAACTAAGCATCCTGAATTTTTGTTGTGCTTTTCCAATGAGTAAATGCAGTTTTGGTCTGAGGAATACAAGTCCTACAAGTATGAACATGTGTACAATAAAAATACTGAAGATATGAATTACAATAGCGACTACTCATAAGAAAATCAAACCTCTTCAGTTGCTTGTCCTTGTCCGCAGGTATTATTACTGTCTGTCTGAGAACTAGAACACGGTGCATTTATACTTCCATTACCCCTTTCAGCTGAGGGTATCACTATAGAAATTAAACATGAACTGAGCACTATACATTCCTCTGAGGACTGAGTAGATATTAATAATGATATTGAAAAAAAATACAGGAAAAATAATACCCTTTTGTTAGAATATAAAACACTTAACAAATTGCAGTGAATTAACCAAGATCAAACAGAAGGTCACTGTGCACAGCTAGAAATAGCTTCCAGAGCTTTGCTCTAAGCATCAGAACACATTTCCTCAGAGCACTTCTTAGAGAACAATTTCTGTAGGGTATATGCACAGGAAAAAGTCCGATTAACTAAAACTTTGCACACTACTGAAAACTGAGTACCTTCAGGCTTTGAATCCTTTCAAAAAGAGGTAGGTCCAGGGGTAAAAGTATAATGAAGACGTTAATAGTATTCCCTTTGTTTGCTGAGCTTGAATTTCCCTTTGATTTTTTCCTTCATGCACTATCATTTATATATTTCCTCCATCATAAAAACTACACTTACATTCACCACTATTTTACCTGCTCCTCTGAAAACGGCAGCGAAAGTAAATCCAGTGTTACGCTCACATTTCAGTATATCCAGCACATGTGAATGAAGGGCCCTGCTTGTGTTGCAGCCAGCTCTAATCCACAGCCTTTATAAGCGCACTTCTAAAGCACTTACCTATCCTCTTCTACGTTGTCTTACCGAGGACGGGACTGAGCATGACTGCCATTGCCTGATTCCACTGAAAAGCTAATGGTTCTGGTGAGCCGAGGGACAACTTCCGGTGGTTTGATTCTTCTGCATTCCTTTTACAATAAAATTAAGGTGATGGTGACCCATTTTGACCCAGCATATTCTGGAAAAGTTCTAACTCACACTTTGTTATTCTCTCTGCTAGACTAGAGGGAAACATTTCAGTTAGGATTTTCTTGCCTCCTTTTCAGAGAGCTAGTGAAGACAGATTTTACAGGATCGGTTCTCGCTTCTTTCCACTTTAGCATATATTTTTCAGTTAACAGTGGGTTTTAGTAGGTGCTGGAATGTAACCTAAAATTCATTGCAAGCTTGAAATCTGAAAATATAAATCTGGTTGTGTTCTTACTCACTTCTATATGATTGAATCCATTTTAACGTTAATGCAAAAGCTAGTAAAGCAGTTACCTTGACAATTAATAAGGACAGGGGAAAGAAACCTAGTTCTTTCCTTTTTTTTTTTCTTTTTGGTAGGTTCATTTGTTTTTAAATTAAAATTGCCTGAAAAGTACACTTAGTGTTTTAGTGCATAAAGTAGTCCAGCTAAAATCACAGTGTTAGTTTTCTTTCAGCTCTCTCAAAAGCAAAACTAAGAACATTTTGTGACTCAGCTTGGATTTCCCCTCAAATTTCTGTTATTTTCAGAGCCAACAATGTGAAATGTTCAAACCTTATTGAACAAAAGAATTTGAAGTCTTACTAGAATGATTAATAGATTTGTCTTTTCCACTGTTCTGTCAGATGGAGAATGCTGCTTTATCGAATTACTGTTACTGATGTCCGTAGTATACATTGAATGAAAGCCTTAAGAAAGCTTTCACAAGAATATGTAGTAATTGAATGCGTTATTCTGTACAGTTTGATTTTTTGCCTCACTAATGTATTTAATGAAGGTACCCTGATTATTATACGAATCATGGCATTATCTCAGACTAGTTTAGCTCTCCAGGCTATATTTGGATGTAGAATGACCTTGTCCCTGCGAGAGGAGGTTTCTTGTGTTGACACTGAAAAACTTTCCACTGCTTTTAGGCAACACCTGCATCTTCATGATTAAAAATGATTATACCCTATTAGAAATCTTAGTTATTTAAGTTTGTGTGATGTGGCACGACATGAATATCATGTTATTTTCAAAGATACTGATAATTATAATGCCCCGTGATGAAGCTGATCCACAAGACTAAAAATTAATGGAACTACGTATACAATTAATCGTTGTTAACTAGTGCTTTGTCTGAACTTTCAAAAATCTCCACCTAGTGAAAATTTTTATTGCATAATTCATGCAAATTTAGGTCTTAAATTTATGAGAGCATATACCATACTGTTGGCTCTTCATATTGAAACTGTGCAGTCAGAATTCTATATAAATGTCATTGATATAGTATAGGTAGACATGAAGTTATATCTTAGAGGTTGCTATCGTTTCAGTAACTTTTATTACTTCTTCTGAAATGAACTTGGCAGTCTCGGTAGACAGCAAACCGAACTTGAGCCACCAGCGGGCCCCCACAGGAAAGAAGGCTAATAGCTTCCTGGGCTGCGTTAACTGGAGTGCAGCCAATAGCTGAAGGAAGTCATTATTCCCTTTTACTTGGTACTCATTACACCACATCTAGATTATTGCATCCATGTTTGGGCCCTCCAAAACAAGTCAAAGGTAAAAATATAGGTATCGTTCTTCAGCATTATTCATATTTGTCTATAGATCTAGAATTATTTCCCTGGAGGCTTTTCTGCAGTTCTTAATGCTAGTGTATCTAAATGTTTCTCTAATAAAAATCTTTGTGGCGCTTCTGGGAGATGAAGATGGATTTATTGTTGCATTTTGCAGCCCAGAAACAGAACTGCAAAACATTTAAATCAAAAGTTTCCACAGAATTGGGATCTCCATTTCATAACAATAAAGACCTGTTTTCTTCAGCTTATGTAAATATATAACAGTACAATACATTATTGCAGCTGTAAGTGCTCTCCATTTCAGTGAATTATCAGAATATCAGACAAAAAGATATTAAGGAACATTCATGTAGTAACCAATTAAGTCTGTTTGCTGTGACTTAGCACGTGAGAACTCCTTTGCACAAGCTGGAATACCTGCAGCATTTAACTGATTTATCCTTGAAAAAATTCTTGCTCTGCGCATTTTATGACACACTCACCAATTCCATAACAACTGAGACAGGAGTCCTACAGAAAGTAGCCTTATCTGTTGCATAATCCTGATTCACCTCTCTAGCAAGTCCACTCTGTACCTTAATTGAGGTAGGGTTCCTGTGAGAATGTAATATTTAAATACATAATGATAGATTGTTTGATATTACAAAAGCATAGTGGGGCCAGATTCAAGTTGTTTATCCCACTAACTCTGACATATTCTAACTTTTAAAAGGTTGACTCTGAAACCAAAATATTGGCATTTTAATGCTTTTATGTATGTAAATTTCCTGTCTAGGAAAATAATCCTATTTACAAGCAGAAACTCCATCATGTGATATTCTAACAGGATTAATCAAGAGGATTAGAATCTTTAGATCAACCACATAATCCTCTCCAATTTGAGCCAATACTTAAATCTCAGAACTGGAAGACAGTTGGGCCAATGGAACACTAGAAGGTAGAGATGTTGCACAGAGTTCAGACCAACAGAAAACAGAGTGCTGACATTGCAGCAAAAAATACATCCGTGAAAACAGCATATCATGCTTAAATAGTATAACAATGCAGGAGTATTTCTTTAGTAATGACTTCCTATTTTGAGCACTGAAAATTACATTCTGTTAGGAACTTGTGTAAGGAGGTATGGTATTTGTTAATTACTGTATAATTAACAATGTGTAATGTACCACTCTAATATGTGTGTGTGCGCATAAAGACATGCACAAAAGTATTTCACATTTCTTATTCACAGACAGATAATCATCTGTTTTGCTAGAGCAGTTGGAGTTGCTGGTAGTCAGCTGGCGTAAGGGGAGTAAAAATTTCCGCATTAAGGAGACTAAGAATGATAAGAATATTTGACACTAAAATCATATTATGCTAATCAGGTAAAAAAAAAACATAAATTTGATCAGAGTATACTTAAAACTATATTTATATAATGATCAAAATCTCTTGCATTAAAATCTAAAAATTCAGTACGTATAATTAACAAGCATATGCCATCTAGTGGGCACCAGAAAAGTTTCCTCCCTATTCAGGATTTCTCATGTACTCACTATTTTCACTTGTAAAATACAAGTATCTAGGGAGATGAGGATCTGCAGTTGAAATTATCAATGTCCAGATGCCAAAACAATACTTAAATACCTCTCAAGCCTCTTTTATGGAATTAAGATGTTTTATGATAGCCCTCTGTGCCAAGGTAAACTTACCCTTAATATAATTCTAATCTCATGAAAACGGAAACAGCACATAAATACAACTCTGCTGTTATCTCATTCTGTAGAACTTTTGTTAGGAAAGCCTGTTATGGTACGCATTTCTATTAATAATATCTATAAGAAAATCAGTGTGCCCAAGTGAAGCTTCTTCAGCTTTCATTTTTGTCTCTGAAAACTGCAATAAATCATAGTAATTAATAAAATTCCCATTTGCATTTAAGCTATTAGTAGTAGAAACATTGCATCACAGGTTTTTCATAATGCCATGTGTAATGATTCCTAATCTAATTCTTACATCTGGTAATTACCATATAAATGTCAGTATTTTAATGTAAATGTTATGAATGATAGTGTGGGGGGTTTTAACATTTGCCAACTAATCAAAATAATAGTATTTAATGCTCTGAGTTTGTGGTTTCCTTGACAGCAATACTCCTTTTAATTATATTCACACAAAAAAATTGTAAGAAATATGATTATTGTTCTTAGCAGTTTTCAAATAACTGCTCAACGGGAGCAGAGCTTAGGTATTATACCATATAAAAACATTAATAAAAAGCGTTTTTGTGTGAACGATAATCATCCATGCTGTAAGATTTTGAGCCTGGTTATTATCTCATGCCTGTAATCTGAATAGACTACAATGCAATGTTGTGATGTCTGTATATAGCCAGCCTAAAGTGAGACTCAGACCTTGTCTCATGAAATCAGTAATATAGAATTGAATCACACTGGCCAAGGGGCTGGTGAAGGAATTGACATTTGAGGAAGGAGAAAGAATATTAGCAATGCACAGAGCAATGTCAGTCTTACAGCTACCTTTTGTCATGCTACTATTCAGTACCTCAGGTCAGCGTAGCCAAGAATATAGTATACTATACTACTAATATTGTACTAGTTACACAAGTAAAACAGTACAGACTTTTAAAATTAAGCCTGTTGTGATATGCTTTTGGAACTATTCCAGTGATTTCTAATTTTACTTGCACTTTTCAAAAAGAACTGCACTCTATAAATTAACCTTTGCATAAATGTAAAATCACCAAAGGGGGGAGAAAAAAAGCCAACCCACAACTATGACTTCTCAAATCAAAAGCTATCTGTGAGAACAGACTGTGCAATAAAAAAAATAATTAGTGAGATACATCAAACTGACCATGAACTATAATGTAACTTATAGAAGTTTTAAGTCTAAGTATTGGCAACTCTGTTATTTGCTAGGTGGCAGATGAAGAAACATTAGCTATTAATGAATCACAGTGATTGCGGAAAAAATACAGAAAAGAATAGTAGATTAAGATGAAAAGTACCTGGGGTATGTTTGGTTTTAGAGTAACTTGACAAAGCAATTGCTGGAATTAGAAGTGACTACTTAAAGAGTTAAGACTATTGAAGGAACTTTATTATTATCTACTTCCAAACAAAGCAAACCTACCATTTATATTCCCTAGAACTTTCCATATGCTTCTCTTAAGCTCAAATTGAATGAAAATTATAATTAGGGATTAAAAAACTATTGTATTAAGTTTAGGAAACATAAGTTTATTTAAGCTTAATTCTAGAGATCTTACAGTTTTATGACTAAGTAAAGAGAATTTGAGAGCGCTGTATTTTTAATGTCGTCTCCAGTCAAATGCAACTACCAGATGGTTATTCATATTTATATTCCTTCTCTTCTCATTTATTAACGTAAAATAAAATTTTGGATAAATTCATGTATATCTTCAGAATCAAAGTTACAAGAAAGACATGAGACAGTTGTAACACATAAGTTGGCAGACCTCTATATTTCTTTGAGTAGGACACAAACCCCAGTCATCTAAATATATGAGAAGAGGTGGAGGGATCAAACTCTTATTCCTTTAGAGATCTTTGGAATGCAACTAACATGTACTTAAATACACTCAATAAGATTTTAAAATTCACCCAAGAAGTTTTTAGATGTATAACATCACTGGTTATTGAAAGGATTTACATTTCTAAGTCATTCAGGGGCTTTTGAAATTTTTACAAAGTACCAGTTAGTTTCGCAAATGTAGATGTAATCAGATCAGTAGGAATCCATCTATAAGTTTATCCAGCAAGATTCAAAATGCCTGTGAAACCTGTAACATGCTGAAGAATCATAGAGCAGGTCAGTCTTGCATATTTGTAGACAAACTGTTTGAAAGAAAAGGTATTTTTTTATTCTTTGTGCTTATTTTATAGTGCCTTCAAAGCATGCCACCCCAAAATAAAGAGCTTCTACTTTGCAACAGACTGCCTTGAAGAAATGAATAGGTAAGTCATGTTTCCTCTTTATCATGGTATATTCTTTATCATGGTACTCCAATAATTGAAAATAATATTTCATCTCACATAGAAATATACTCTTGGAGCATGATGTAATGCTGATCGATAGTGTTCTCAGTACTTTGTCCACTTAGTCATCCATTAATTTTAGTACATAAATTACATTGTGTGGCTCACTTTGCTGAAATTTTCTGTCATGCCGCATGTCACATTTCTGCAAAGGTGTGGTAGGAAAGTCAGTTGTGTTGGTCTCATCTACATTCATCAGAATTTTTGTTTGTTAATGGGCATAAAGTTTATCACACTTCTAATTTTTTGTTGATCAAGGCTAGAAATATTAATGTGGGATAAATGTTTCTGGTATATAAAAACAATGCATACATACTAAAGCTCATACTTCAGAGTATACCCACGTGATGGGATAAGATATTTTGAAGTTAGCTCTACTGACAATTCACAGTAACATGACATGACCTAAAACCAGAGAAAAGCAATTTGAAGTATTTTTTAAACAAGAATATGATGAACTAATGAGAGCATTAGTTGTTCATGCCAGAAATGGGGGGTGGGGGTGGGGGGAGTG